CTTGACGGTCATGCTGAGGACCTAGGTACCCCCCCACACACACACAMAAAAAAAAGCAAAAGTAAATTTAAATGTCTTTGACTTAAACACAAGACACAATATTTCAGAATGTTATCCATATGCAAACATTAATGAAATGTACTTTTTGAAAGGGATACTAACACTTCCAAATCTGGTGTGTATTCTGCACTTACAGCACTTCTCAAATAAGACTAGCCACAGGGTGGTGTGGTAGCACACACCTGTAGTCACAGCTACCTGGGAGGCTGAAGCACATTACAAGCTCAGGAATTTCAGGCCAGCCTGGGCAACATAATGAGAAAGAGAGACCCCATTTTATTTTAAGGGGGGGGGAGGGTACTTTTTAAATGCTCGATAAGTATATGCCAATCATGGTTAAATGAACAGTGGGAAATTAATTCATTAGGGCCATTTATACTTAAAACTTTGTCAATTCAAATGTTAAACAATTTAACTTTCTTTGAATTTCACATTATTTCCAATTGAAGTATACAAACCCAAGTTGTTCCAGATAGACTTAAAATTTTACAGTAACTAAGCTAAAAATCAGATTTTAAGTTAAAAACTAAATTGGTCATAGCTAAGTTCTGTAGAACGCACTTGAAATCTCAGCCACTTCGGAGTCTGAGGTAGGAAGATCTCAAGTTGAGACCACATCATATGGGCAACTTTAGCAAGACCTTGTCTCAGAAAAATAGGCTATGGATACTATTCAGTGTTAGAACACCCCAGGGTCAATCTTTGGTATTACATTAAAAAAAGAGAGAAATCATTCCCAAAATGCAGTTCAGAATCATGAGATACCATCTCATACTCACTAAAACATTGTTATTCAAAAAAARGTAAAATAACAAGTGTTGCCAAGGATGTGGAATTAGTAGTTATACCACGTTTTGAGGACTCTAAATATTCTACTGAAGTATACAATTTAAAATGGCACACTTTAAAATTGTTATTTAAAATTAAAATTTAAATGTATGTTTAAATTTAACTTTACATAATGTTATTCCAAATGTTACATTAGTATTAAAATAAAGTTATAATTAAATTTAAGTAATATAATTTTTAATTATTAAATATTTATGGTACTGGGATTGAACCAGGACCTCTTGCTTGGTAGACAAGTGGTCTACCATTAAGCCACATTCCCATGCATGTAATTTAAAATATATTATTATTTTTGTTTATTTTATTATTATTATTATTATTATTTTTTTTTGTAGTGTTGGGTTTTGAACCCAAGGCCCTGTGCATCCTACAGGAAGTGTTCTAACTAAACTAAAATCGATATCCAACTTAAAATTTAAAGTCATATGTTGCTTAAATTTTAAATATGCACTTTAAAATTGTATACTTTGAGATAGTATACTTCATTTATTAAAAAGATTAAATAGATAAAAATGTTTTGTGTGTGTAGGGAATGAAGGATTCAAATGACCATATCACCCTTTATGCATAGATCCTTGTTGAGATCACTTTTTTGTTAAGAACTAAGTTGCCAGGGTTCTGGATCCCCTCTTTTTCTGTCCCTCAAATACAGCAAAGTCTTTTCTTGTTTTTTATTTTTTAAAAAAAWTTTTTAATTTGCAATTACTTCTTCTTTTTTAGTTGGTGGTGGTCCTTAATTATTTATTTATTTACATGTGGTGCTAAGAATTGAACCCAGTACCTCACATGCTAGGCAAGTGCTCTGCCACTGAACCACAACTCCAGCCCTATAAGCAAGGTCTTTTTAAATTTTTTTTTGTAGTTGTGTATGAACAGAAAGCCTTTGTTTGTTTATTTTTATGTGGTGCTGAGGATCAAACCCAGTGCCTCTCACATGGGAGGCAAACACTCTGCCACTGAGCTGCAGAACTTGCCCAAATAAGATCTTTGAGCAGTGTTAGTACCTGAACTGTTTTACTTGGCTAAGCCTGGGGGGGGCGGGGTTGACCATTTGGGTAAGGCAATAGGATAGGTAATGGATAAAATAATTGGTAAGATTGGGAAGTCCACCTTATTGATCATCTTGTCAGTTTTTTCTTTAATTATTTGTGCTTTTGATAATATATCCAAAATTTTTCTACAAGACTGAGTCACCAAGATTTTCTCCTGTTTTCTTTTAGATAGTCATGATTTTTATATTTTACATTAGGTCTATGGTCCATTTCGATCTATTTATCTATCTCTCTATCTCTCTCTCTCTATCTATCTATCTATCTATCTATTTATTTATTTATTTTTTAGTTGTAGATGGACACAATACCTTTATTTGTTTTTATGTGTTGCCAGGGATGGAACCCAGTGCCTCACACATGCTAGGCAAGTGCTCTACCACTGAGCCACAACCCTGGCACCATTTTAATATTTGTTAAAGGTGTAAGGTCTGTGTTTAGGTTGTTTTTGTTTTCTTTTTATATATAAACAAATATTCCAGTGTTTCTTCCCCTTCCCCTCATCAAGTACAGGGGATTGATCCCAGAACTTTATATATGGTAGGCAAGCTCTCTRTAACTGAGTTATATCTCTATTCCTTTATAAACTTTTGTTTTGAGGTGGGATCTTGTTAATTTTTCTAGGGCTTGCCTTGAGTTTGGGGCTCTCCTGCCTCAACCTCCTGAGAATTGTGTAACCATTGCTAGGTTCTTGTGCTATGTTTGGGAAAAGACATGTTTCGAAAAGACTATTTTTCTCCATTAATTGGCTTTGGGAATTTGTGACAAAGTTAGAATTTCTCCTTCGTCAGAAATCAGTTGACATATTGTGTGGGTCTATTGTGGATATTCCTAATGTTTTATTTATCTGTATTTCTGTCCTTTTCCTAATACCATATCACAGTGATTACTGTGTCTGTGTAGTAAATGATGAGATTTGGTAGTGTGAGTCTTTCAAGCTTGGTATTTTTCAATATGATGATGATGATTAATCTTCTACAGAATAATTAAAAACCAAATGCTATATAAATTTTACCTCAACAAATAATAGTAACAAATTAGTTGCAATGAAATAAATTTTAAMATTTACAATAGCTATTTTGACTAGTGGCTCCTGTAGTGAACAGTGTAGTTCTATGAATATGTTTGGTGAATTCTTAAAAGTCTAAGAAGGCAATAACCAATAGGTTCTAAACTTCTCATGGTTAGAATACATAGCTGAACATTTCTGATGCATGTTATTTGAAGACCACACCAATGACGGTGTATTTTTCTTTTTATTAGGGTCTACCTAAAAATGGGTAAGATTTTTAACAGTAATGTGGAGTGCTATTAAAAGTTCCCAAAAATGTCAAAATAGATGGAATAATGATTGGCACTGTATAAGGAGCTTGTTGTGAAATGTTTAAGCCCACATTGATTTTTATCACAATCTGTAAGCACATTGCTATTCATATCTGTTGATGTATTTAGAAATGTTTGATTCACAAGATCCTTCTAGAAATCGTCACTCATAAGTGTGCATTTATGTCTTCAAAATGCGTAGAAGGTTATGTGTTGGGATAAGCAGATAGACAGTGAATGTGTAAGGATAGGCTCAAAGGAGTATCAGCACTTGTTTACTTTAGGCAGATTTAGGGAATTTGTGACAAAGTTAGAATTTCTACTGGAGGATTGTGTTGAACTTTTTGGTAATTTAAACTGATAGAGGGTACCTGAATCAAAAGAAAGAACCTGAAGGCATGTGGGTTTAGTGTTGAACCTTAAAAATATATGTGCTTGGTGTTTTTTTGGTTTTCAAGTCAGAAACTAAATAAACTGAACACCATTTTATTAATAAAAAAGTTGTTATCAATCCAGCTGTGTTTTTTTTTGTTTGTTTTTGTTTTGATACTGGGGATTGAAGCCAGGGGTGCTTTACYACTGAGCGTATACTACCAGCCCCTTTTATTTTTTATTTTGAGATAGGGTCTTTGCTTAGGRCCTTGCTAAGTTGCAAAGGCTGTCCTGGAGTTTGTGATCCTCAGCCTCCTCTGAGTTGCTGGGATTATGGGTGTGTGCCACCATGCCTGGTATCAGTTGTGGATTTTGCTTCTTGAGGATCATTTTGGAAAATGATTTGATTATGGAGAGCCATTGTTATAAGAGACATGCAAAAATTATATTCCAAGATCTAACTAGAGTAATGTAGCTGATTTGTATATTGTAATTCTGATGATATCTGAACCTTCTAATTTGTTCCTAGAATGGTAGATTTGCCAGGTTACTTGGATAGTTGTCCTTTTTATTGAAATCTTGCAAGTAGAGAAGGCTGAAGAAGCATTATTTAATGGAACTTATAAAGGCCCACAAAAGACCAACACTTAGCAAATTTATAAGAAAATCATTATTTTTGGAGTACTTGGTATTGAACCCTAGGCCTATTGTATATGCTAGGCATGTACTCTACCACTGAGCTACATCACCAGTCATTGTTTTCAAATTCTATTTTGAGACAGGGTCTCAATATACTGCTAGGCTGTCCTCAAACTTGCAATCCTCTTGCCTCAGCTTCTCAAGTAAATGCCCAGCTAATAAGAAAATTCTTTAAAGATCAATAAATTTCTCTTCTACCTGTAACAACACTACAGAACAGTAGKGAAGCTGGTGAAGCTTTTGAAGTAGCATATATCTTAAGGTAAGAAATTTAAAAAATTTAGGAATCCCAGTAATTTTTTGTTGGGATAAATAACTTCCTGCTCCTTTTATAAAAGTGATTAATTCAAAATCAGATATTTCTGGGAAGAACATGCCACCATTTTTTGTCTTGCATGTAGTGGAAAGAGTAGTAGGACTGGTGAGTCATGAAGCTTGAGTTGTATTTTCCACTTGCGCCACTGACAAACATTGTTATCTTTAATAGCTTTGTTTTATGTATAAAATGAACTTCTTTTATAAAAGAAGTTTCTCATGTATCTTTTCTAGAATTATTTCCATTGCACTGATTTATTTCTGAAAATACTAAGTATTAACTAGCTAGGTTAATTCTCATTGATGTCCTTTTTCTCTTTTATTTTTATTTAGTGTGTTGTTGGTGGCTGCAATGCCAGCTTTGCTTCTCAGGGAGGGCTAGCTCGCCACGTACCCACACACTTCAGTCAGCAGAACTCCTCAAAAGTTTCTAGCCAGCCAAAGGCCAAAGAAGAATCTCCTTCTAAGGCTGGAATGAACAAAAGGAGGAAATTAAAGAACAAAAGACGACGCTCATTACGTAAGTGTTTCACTTGAGAATCTGTGTATATTAGAAGATTCTGTTTATATCTCTACCTTTCAAGCAAATTCAATTTTTACCGTTCTTCAACTTGGCTTATCTGTTTCTATTAAAAGTAATATACAGGAAGGATACCTGTTTGTCAGTGTGAGAATTCAGTGACACATGTGCAGTAGCCATAGAATTATATATGACCTTAGAATGTGCAATGTATAGAATTAGATTTTGAGGGCTACTTTGCTTCTATTGTAGTTGAAGAAAATTTAGAACATGGCATGTTGGTATTTCTAAAAGGAAACATTTTAGGAAATTTGAAAAATGGTGAAGGTGAAAGTCAAGTAAAATTTAAGTAATATATCAACTCCCAAGTGTAGTATGTGTGAAAGCAAAAGAATTGAATATACTCTACGAGTCTGTACCTACAGTCCATTGTAATACGTATGTACTATGGTTATGTGCTTAATTACTAGGTAATAAGATACATCCTTTATGTTTAGGATAGAAAATAATTAGATGATAAGGCTTGCAAGTGTTGGGGCAAGAATTGATTGAAACCCCAGAGTCTAGCACCATTATTAGCTCTTTGTATCAGCTGCAGCTGGCTAGCCAATCACGAAGAAATATGAGTCAGAGTGGATATGAATGAATGAATGAATGAATGGAGCTGTAATGAAAACAAGTTCTTTACAGTGGTGAACTAGGGGGAAGGAAAAAAAAAAAAGATTGCACCTTACCTTCTTCTCTTGGGATTTGATTGGGGTATAGAAGAAAATCCAGATACTAAATCTAGGATATAACTTTAATCTCTAAAACATGGACCCCTATCCCCATCCCTCTTTGCTACAGTACTAGGGATTGAACCCAGGGGTACTTTACTTCTGAACTATCTGTCCCCACCTCCTCCTTTTTTAAATTCTGAGGTAGGGTCTTTCTAAGTTGATAAGGTTTGCCTGTAATTTGGGATTCTCCTGACTCAGCAGAAAATAAAGGCATGAGCCACCATACCTGACTTGAAATATTTTTGTTAATGCAAAGCTGCAGTGACTCAGCCTTCTGAGTAGCTGGGATTACAGGTGTGTACCATCACATCTGGCTTAAAAGCCTTCAGCATGGCATTTTTTTTTTTTTCCTGATAGTACAAGGGACTTAACCCAGGGCTCTCTACCTCTTAACTAGATCCCCATTAAATTGTTCAGGCTGGCCTTGAACTTAACAACCCTCCTGCCTCAGCCTTTTGAGTAGATGGGAGTAGATAGTTTGAGTCATCTCTCTACCTATATCTTTTTTGGGGGTGGGGGGGGTCCTGAATCAAATACTTAACACATTTTTTGAGAATATTCTTCTGCATAACCACATYACCATTTTTACACATAACCACTGGAACATAGGGTGTCTATTTTTATGATTTGTAAAGGGTGTGTGTGTATGTGTGATGCTTGGGGATTAAATCCAGGGCCTCATACTAGACAAGCCATGTGGGCCACATCCCCAGCTTTCCACAGGGTTTTTTTTTTTTTTTTTTTTTTTTTTGTGTGTGTGTGTGTGTGTACACCAGGGATTGAACCCAGGGGCTTTTAATAACAGAGACATAATATATGTAGCCGTTTTCCTTGATCCTTGATATCTGTTTTGTAGCATCTTTTCCAGCTATTGATTGTAAAGCATAATTTTTGCAAATTTGGGCAAATCCCATCATGGCTTCTTTGCACACTCTCCAATGTTTATCTAATGCACACTCTCTCACAAAATTAAGTAATTGATCATTGACCAGAAGAATATCTTTTTTAGCAACTGTAACTGCAGAGATGATAACATTATGTCTAATAGCTTCTTCCTCAGAGTCATGAAACCTCATTTTAAAATATTCTGTTAAATTCTTTGCTAAATCGGTGGTTCATGAGACAACGACTAGCAAATTTCACAGATTCCAGGTGGATTGGTACATGAATATCATTAAACCTGCGTAAGCACTGCCAAAGTGGTTTGTTTTGAGAAGCCAATTCTGAATCCTTTGCCCTGAACATTTTTGCTAGTAGTTTAACAAACTTGGAGTCCTTCCTCAATATAGTTGCTCTTTAATTTAAACTCAAGCAATAGAGCTCATGGGGTCTACCATGTGCATATGAACTTTCTGATTATGCCCATTGTTTATAACTGAAAATAATGTTCTGTATAATTAGGTAAAAATTTCATTGCTGTCTTCTAACTCAACGCATTGTTGTATGACTTGACCCAAGCAATGTTCTCAAGTAAATAAAAATAYCTATTGTATTATGGGCTCTTTGTATCCTCCAACTCCTTCAGCTGCCTTGTTATAAACATAAATATATCCTTTAGTTTATCAGGGGATGTGTAAGAAGCTTCAGGAGCATAAATCCTGAAAATATTGGCAAGGCAGCAGGCCATCAGTAAATGAACATCTTTATCAGGAGGCTTAAGGAAACAATTTGAAGCAAGATGTAARGCTACGTTTAGATAAAGCTCCTTTTCTTTTTCAAAGTCCTAGTCCATGTCCTTGAAAGTTTTCACAGTCATCTTTAACCGTCTCACCATCTCCTCTTTAGATATTTTATCTGAGATTTCCTTGACACTAGGATGATAAGTAATTTTTCATCATTGGTCCTTGTCTTTGAATAAGCCATAATGGAAAAATTTTTACCCCTCCTGGTGAGTTAGACACTCGGAGGGGTAAAAATATTTACCCTTTCACTCCTTTCACTCTACTGCTCCCCAGGATCCACCACAATATCCAATTGCCTATCCATAGTTTTTGATTATGTATTTATCAGTTGAAAAATGCATGGACTGTACACAGCTGTAATATACATAATTTATACATTGTAGGTAATATTAAAACACATTGAAAGGAATTGCTTAGAAGGAATATTGAAAAGGAAGAAATGAAGAAATAAACAAAAGTGCTATTTCCCTTATTCTAATGAATTATACATGTGCTTTGGCTGGGAGGGAGGGAGGGAGGGAGGGAGGGAGAGAGAGAGAGAGAGAGAGAGTGAGTGAGTGAGTGTGTGTGTGTGTGTGTGTGTGTGTGTGTGTGTCTGTGTGTGTGTCTGTGTCTGTGTCTGTGTCTGTCTGGGGCTGGGGATTGAACCCAGGGCCTCACACATTCTGAATGTGTACTTTATCACCAAGCTATACCCCAGATTTTAGTTTGCTATTCTTCATATTTATTATAACAGTGGAGGTAACATGGTGAAGGTCTGCATTGCATCGAAGTTCAGTGGCTATTTTCATCATTTTTGAAACTTACGTGATGATTTTAGTGTTTTGATCTTGAAGGAGGAGTGATTAGAACCTGAATGATTAGAAGGGGTAAATTATTATTTTCTCATAGTGCTTATTCTTTCTTAGGAAAACTTTTTATGAAACCACATTTTTCTCCCCAGTAGCTACAGAAGAGAGATTTGTTTCTAAGCATTAGGTAAAAATCATCACTGCTTCCCACCCCAAATATGGTTGCACTCCTGGTTTTGTGGGTTCTGCTACTTCATTTTTAGATGGTGTTTTTCTTATTTTCTCTTGGAAAAAAAAAAAAAGAAAAGAAAAAAATCTAGTGAGAAAAGTTACTTTGGTATCTTTCGATGCCAGCTGGTGAAAATGTCCTGTACAAAACCTGTGGTGTGCTGGGTGTTGTGGCACACACCTATATCCCAGCGATTCAGGAGGCCGAGGCAGGCAAGTTCAAGGCTGGCCTGGGCAACTTAGCAAGACCCTGGTTCAAAATAAAAAGCACTTGGGGATACAATACTCAGTAGTGAAGCACCCCTGGGTTCAGTCCCCTGTACCAAATAAATAAGTAAAATAAACTGTTGTATTTTTATTATTTTTATAGGTATTCTGAGAAATCTATGGATAGTCACAGTATGGAAAATCAGCCTGCATGTAATTCAGAATACTTTATACCAGAAAATCAAGCCAATTCATTTTTTTTAGGAAAACTGAATTTTGAGTTCAGATCATGAAAATTACATATATCAGTAAGCTCTGTAAATATAACATAACCAACTTTAATTTGAGAAATTTTCTTTAAAAAAATTTTTTTAGTTGTTGATGTTCCTTTATTATTATTTATGGACGGTGCTAAGGATCGAACCCAGTGCCTCACACATGCTAGGCAAGTGCTCTACGACTGAGTTAAAACCCCAGCCCAATTTTCTTATTAGTACTAAGAATAGCCCAATTTGTAGTAGTATTTAGTGGAATAAAAATAGAAATTTAAAAAACATTCTCCAGTGTATGACTTTATTGTGAATACACTAAACAATTGCTCACTTTGTTTATTTTAAAATGTTACATAAGGTTTGGTATAAATTGATGTATGATTTACAAGACAGTTTTGTATGCTTCTGTTTTATTTAATCAATATATAGTTGTTTTATTCCCATTTTCTGAATGAGAAATAGTCTAAAGGCACATAGTCCCCTGCATGCTGATAACTCGTGAGTTTGGAACTTTGGTGGACTGATTATAATTCAGAAGTGTATTGATGGGGATGTAGTTAACTGATGGAGTGCTTGCCTAGCATGTGTTAGGCCCTGGATTCCGCAGCACCGCAGACACACACAAAATTCAATGACACATTAGGCTGAGCACAGTGGCTCATGTTTATAGTCCCAGTTACTGGGACAAATGAGAAGGATCATTTGAGCCTAGTAGTTCTGAGACCATCTTGGATATTATCCCCCTCCTCCAAAAAATTGTCAATATTTCTTAAATTGTTGTATTCAGTGAAATACTTATCAACATCTCTAAATGTCTCTTCGTTTGTACTGGAAAAATTTTTTATTACTTATTAAAAACAATGCCCATGAAATGTAATTTTTTTAAAATGCTAGTTWTTTAAGTTGTCAGTGGTCCTTTATTTATTTATATGTGGTGCTGAGAATCAAACCAATGTCTCACACATGATAGGCAAGTGCTCCACCATTGAGCTACACCCTAGCCCCATGAAATGTATTTACGTTTGGCCATGGTTTGAGACCCTGGTGTTGTGCATAGATGGAGGATGTCAATTAGATGTTAATCTGTGTTGAAAATGTAGAGCTGGTACTGAGGAGAGATGTTGGAATAAAAGGTACAATTTTATGAAAAAGTAGCTGCAATATGAAATTATGAGGTTTGAGGTTAGAGTCTCATATTTTAATGGGGGAGAATTAATCCATATTCAAGCGTTAGTTAGAATTTTGCTTTCCAACTTTATCTTCTCCATCTTTCTCTTCTCTGCCAGAGTCCCTGTTTTGAAAGCAAAGAATATCTTGCATTTAAACCCTAGATAGGGTTAAACAGTTACTTGTTTAAAATTAATATTTTTAACTTATTTTGTGGCAAATGGACTATTTGTACATTTAATAGACTTTATATTTTTCTAAATATTCTTTACCTTTTTTTTGTGTTGACTTGTAGCACGACCACATGATTTCTTCGATGCACAAACACTGGATGCGATAAGACACCGAGCCATATGCTTTAACCTCTCAGCTCATATAGAAAGTTTAGGGAAGGGACACAGCGTTGTTTTTCATAGTACCGTAAGTATTTAATTTTTCCTTTCAAATTATATATATGTATATTTGCGAGGTCTGGGCTGGGGCTGGGGCTCAGTGGTAAAGCACTTGCCTAGCTTGTGTGGGGCACTGGTCTCGATCTTTAGCACCGCTTACAAAATAAATAAAATGAAGGTATGTTGTTCATCTGTAACTACAGAAAAATTTAAAGAGATTTGCAAGGTCTATTTTTTATTTTGCTCAAATTCTAAGAAAATACATTTTAACAAAGTCACAAAACCTTTATGCTTTATCAGTATTTTAAAAATTATTTGTATTAGTGGTTATAAAGCAGATAGTTCCTATAATTCTGTATGTTTATGATTAAAGTGAATATTTAAGCCTTTTGTTTGAGTTTTAAAGATATTGTGGCATAGTGTGCTACTTGTATTAGACTAGGCTTTGACCTTAAGTAAATGAGGTGTCTTTTCTTCCCTCTGTGGTGTTTTATTTTGTTTTTAAAGTAGAATATTAAATTTCTTTTAGGTCTAAAAACTTTTTATTAATACCCCATGTGTTGTGTAGACCTTACCCTCAATATACACRTGTAGTTAAAAAGTTATATATCATTGGCCATCAAATTAAAGTTTGTTGAGGGAGAAAATTTTAAATGTTTTGTTTTACTGATATATTTTGGGTGCCTTGAATTTTGGCTAGCACATGGTAGACATTCAGTATATTTGTTGGGTGACCAGGTTTTCAACACAGAAGAAAAATAATCAAATTGAAAAAACAAGAGGTAAGTATAGTTTACTTTTAGGTTAACTAAGAGTTAATATAATTGTTTTCTTTCATGTCCCTTTCCATTTGTTACCTAATAATCAGTCCACCACCCTACTTCATTCTGGAGATTGAATCCAGGGCTGCCCTTATCACTGAGCTATATCCCCCAGTCCTTTTTATTTTCAGACAAGGTCTCTCTAAATTGCCCAGGCTGACCTCAAACTTGCAGTCTTCCTGCTTCAGCCTCCCAAGTAGCTGGGATTACAGGCATGTGCTACTGTGCCCAATTCTAGTCCTTTTTAAGTTGGTGTAGTTTGGTGTAGGTAAATTAGTAAAGGTGAATTATAGACCAGATTATTGATAATTTGAGTCCATAGAAAAATGAGTATTTAATTTTCACTGTTGAAATATTAAATATTCTAAATTTGGTTTACTTTTATGTTTCAATCGAACAAGAAGTTAATATTAAAATAATTGTTGACATCTATATCTTATTGGATTTGAATCTGCTTTCCCCATCTTCTGTAATGAGATTTTCTTGGCAGTTTTACTTTTCCTTACATTTATAGCTATTTCCCGGTTATTAGACTTTTTTGTATATTTGTGTATACTTCTATTGTTCTTTCTGACCCTTTTGATTTCTCATCTGTCTTGCTCACTAAATATATGTTACCTGTTTTATTCCCCATTCCAGTCCATTTTAGAAAACAACTTCCAGTACTACCATTATAACAATCTACTCTGCTGGGTCTCTCCAATATTCTCATTTTAAAAATAAGGAAATGTTCCAGTAGTGTATTTGTGGATATTCATCATAAGAATTGAGTGGTGAAATACTGTTAATTACTTTCTGAAGAGAGTKGGAAATAAGATCTTACAGTATTTGTGTTTGTCTTAGTAGGAATTGAACCTACAGTATTTTGCATGCTTGGCAGATACTCTACCACTAAGCTACCTCTCCAGCCTTTTAAAAATATTTTAAAAATTTGAGACAGGATCTTACTAAGTGTCTAGGCTCGGCTCAAACTTGAAGTCCTTCTGCCTCCTCCCGAATTTATAATATTTTATTTTTATGTGATATAATTTCAGTCTAGATTAGTCTGGATGCAAGGATATATAATTTTATAAGCTCTATTAAGATTGAATGGGTCAAGAAAATAACAATGGATTGTATTTATGAAATAAATCTAAATGGAGGCAAACTTGATACAATTTAAGACAAATTATTAAATATATCATATAAAATTAAATTGTAGGTATTTTTAATTGATCACACAGCACTGCTGTTACTAACTCAGATTTTTCAGATGACAAAACTAGGAACTAAAAATGTTCTGTGCCTTTTCCAGTATGACACAGTGTAGTTACATATGTATGTACATAATATAGTTACATAGGGCTTAGGGACCTCTATCCCTAGGTTGATTCATGGATTCCATAGTGAGAACCCTTGTGGTATTAGACTAAAATATGTGATATTAAAAGGAACATGGAAAAATAGAGCAATATTTAAGTATCAGTATACTTGAAGCAAGCTTTTTAAATAATTAGGGGTGGAATTGTGAATATTGGAAATTAGGTAAAGATATGAGTGTGAGAGAGTAAAGAATTGAAGATGTGTAATTAAAGGAAAGAAAGTAAAAGAGGAAAGGGAAATTTTATTTGAAATTGTGAGATGTGAGGTTTGTGTGTTTGGATTTGAAGAGAGGTATACGATATTTATATTCTTTTAAAGAGCATAGGAAATATAGTTATCTAAATAAGGATGAGAGAGTTGAAGGGGAAAATATAATGTTTGGAGACCGGAATGAGTTAAAATGGCTACTTTGGGAACTTTGCTGTGGTACCAAGGTCAGGGGCTTGCTCAGTAGTGTGATGATAGAAGTCCTTTTTTTGAAGCTTGTAAATATAGGTTTATAATGCCGTAGGTCTGAAATTGGTTCTTTTATTTATTTGCAAAGTTTGGCAGGAATTTCACGTAAGGCCTTGTGTATGCTAGCAAGTGCTTTACCACTGAGATATATTCCCCAGCCCCCAGAAGTCTTTATTTATTTTATTATTATTTTTTTCATTTAATTTTTTGCAGTTCTAGGTATCAAATCCATGGGTGCTCTACCACTGAGCTATAATTCCCAGTCTTTTTATTTGGAGACAGGGTCTAGTTAACTTGCCCAGCCTAGCTTTGAACTTAGGATCCTCCTGCCTCAGCCTTCTGAATTGTAGGAATTGAAGTATACCACCTCGAAGTCAGTCCATTTGTCTGTATGTCTGTCGTTAAACAAACAAACAAACAACAACAACAAAAAGGTCAATAAAGATGTGGTTACCAGGCAGAGTGTGGCATTAGGGCCAATTTGTTCATTCATGTAATTATTGAGGACTTACTGTGAGGTCAGGTACTAATGGTATATACCAGGGAAAACAAATATGGTACACTGTAGTGGAAGAGACATGATAAATAAAGGAAGTTAGTAAAATTGTAAAAACTTGAAAGAAAAAGGACATTTTAACTAGAGTAGAAAAATGCCTGGTATGTTTGAAAAGCAGAGAAGAGGAAGATCAGTATAGCTGGAGAGAACTAGACAGCAGGAGTTAAATCAGATAAGTGGGAGAACCTTGTAGACTTACTCTGTGTGAGATGAGAAGCCATTGAAGGAATTTGAGTAAGCATGATCTGACTTTCTTCCTTGATTTTTTTAATTGAGGTATAATTTACATAAAGTAAATGGCACCCAATTAAGTGTACAATTCTGTGAATTTTGACAGTTGCATTCACCTATGAAACAACTACTACAGTTAAGATACAGAATATTCCCATCACTCTCAGTGTTGCAGTTAATTCCTCCACCTTTTCCTCTAAAGAATATACTATTGTTTTGACTCTCACAGACTATAATGTGCTTGCTTTGTTTTTGGTGTTGAACAGATTGTAGGAGGTCAGGAGTAGGGAGAAAAGAGTTCAGTCTTTCAGTTGAGACTGATAGTGGCTTGGTTCAGTGTGCTTGCAGTGGAAATGGTAAGGACTGCATCTTTTTAAAAAAAATTTTAATTTGTTAAACATGACAACAGAATGCATTACAATTCATATTACACATATAGAGCACAATTTTGCATATCTTTGGTGTACACAAAGTAGAGGCACATCCTTTGTTTCTTCATACTTAGGTTAATGATGACCATCCCATTCCACTGTCTTTTCTACCCCTATGCTCTCCCTTTCCCTCGCTCCCCTTTTCCCCTTTGCCCTATTTAGAGTTCATTTAATGCCCCTGCCTCACAGCATATTATGAATTAGCATCCTTAAATCAGAGAAATCATTCAGTATTTGGTTTTTGGGCATTGGCTAATTTCACTTAGCATTATATTCTCTAGCTCCATCCATTTACCTGCAAATGCCATGATTTTATTCTCTTTTAATGCTGAATAATATTCCATTGTGTGTATATACCATATTTTCTTTATCCATTCCTCTACTGAAGGGCATGTAGGTTAGTTCTACAGTTTAGCTACTGTGAATTGTGCTGCCAAAAACATTGATGTGGCTGTGTCCTTGTAGCATGCCATTTTTACGTCCTTTGGGTATAGACCAAGGAGTGGGATAGCTAGGTCAAATGTTGGTTCATTCCCAGTTTTCCAAAGATTCTCCTTACTACTTTCCATATAGGCTGCACCATTTGCGGTCCCACCAGCAGTGTATGAGAATGCCTTTTCCCCTGCATCCTCGTCCACGCTTATTGTTGTTCTGACGGGAGTGAGAGTAGTTTTGATTTGCTCTTTTCTAATTGCTAGAGATGTTCAACATTTTTTCATATATTTGTTGATCATCTTCTGAGAAGTGTCTGTTCAGTTCCTTGGCCCATTTATTGATTGGGTTATTTATTTATTTATTGGTGTTAAGATTTTTGAGTTCTTTATGTATTCTAGAGATTAGTGCTCTATCTTACGTGTATGTGGAAAGAATTTGTTCCCAATTAGTAGGCTCTCTATTCATCTCACTGATTGTTTCTTTTGCTGAGAAGAAGTTTTTTAGTTTGAATCCATCCCATTTATTGATTCCTGATATTAAAATTGTGCCTTAGGAGTCTTATTAAGGAAGTTGGGGGCTAATCTGACATGATGGAGATTTGGACCTACTTTTTCTTCTAATAGACACAGTGTCTCTGGTTTAATTCCTAGGTCCTTGATCCACTTTGAGTTGAGTTTTGTGCATGGTGAGAGAGAGGGGTTTAATTTCATTTTGTTGTATATGGATTTCCAATTTT